CCACCTCGCTAGGTGTGTTAAATTCAACCCTTAGTTTAATCCTTGAATAGCGCTAATCGTGCTTCTAGGAACAGAATTTAATCGACGGAGAATTTTATTCCGTGGATTAGGATGATTCAATCGTGATTTAGCGCTAATCGGCTTTCGAACAACCTGGGCCAGAATAGTAACGTTATAGTAACGTGGTTTTCACTCACTGTATTATGAGAGGAAACGCACAGCTTTACATCAGTATCTTGATCCAAATCCCTTTAATATACTACTTTCTTATTTCGAATCTAGATACAAGAAGTAAGAGAAGCCACCGAGGCAAGCTAAGTTCCAATTACCTTGCTCAAGGCTTCAATTGAATCAATATATATCTATCTATTTCGAAATGCTACTAAAGGACAACTTCAAACGTTTACTTACAAATGCGTTGCGTGAGAAAGTCCTTGGCTCTTTGCGAGTGCCAAGGATTCCCAGACCTCCTGTGAACAAGATCTGAAACATAACACTGTTAATTTCTTAACAAGTCAAACGTTATCTAAACGCTAGTTTTAAACTAAGCTTTGCTTGGAGCCTTGCGGATGTGGTTTTATATGAATTTTACGAGTGGTGTATTTTCCAGTAAAACACTCGAAATCTCTATGATAGCATTCAAATCAAACAGCTTGTTAAAATCTTGCAATTTGATTTCGATGCGTGGCATATATATTTCCTGGGTAAGTCTTATGATTTGTGAAGAACCTCGGTGGAAGGTTAAGACCACCGAGACTCTTTAAGAGAATTATCAGAGAAAATTTGTCCAGAATCGGTGGAGGAACAGTTAAGCAGGAGTTATTTTATTTTGCGCATTAAAAGCCCGAGGATATAGCAGCACTCAGGGGACTCTTCTTAACAGTTATGATAAGGTTAATTCAACAAATTTCGAATTTATTTCACCTTAGGAAATGTAATATCAAGCCTACTTTTGTTAAGGTTTGATTTTAACAGTCGGTAAGTGGCTTTGTTTATTAGAACTTCATGGAGCTGTTACCAGCGAGGCAGCGAGAAATCACGCAGTCTGCAATAGTAGCTAACGGTGAACGGCAGATTGGTGTTGATTCTGGATAATTTTTCTGACTCATTTTATAACAAAAACCAATTAAATTATAACATCGTCACGCGATAGTATGGGTCTTATTACCACTTCAAACTGATATCGATTTCAAAACCAATTTAAACGAGAAGACATATTGGCCGCGGCCGCACTGGAGAGTTAACCGGGTTATTTCTAATCAATTAATTACGGTTAACCGGGTTACCGAAAAATCGTGATGCGTCCGCTAATTTCGGCTGTTCATGGAACTTAAACTGGGTTTACGGTTACCATGGAAATTAATTGATGAACAATAGGTTTTTTAACCGGGTTAGGTTAATTTTAAACCACCTTTTTAGGTGCTTTAACCCAGGTTAGTGGTCTCTTATCAGCAGTCTGATCANAGTTACGGCCGGCGCGTCTGGGCCAACGTATAGAGAGACTTCAATAGGTATCTAACCAGACCGTTTGCTTATGTTACACACAGACCAAAATATCTTTAGGTAGTTTGTCTACGAAAAAGACAGATTCACAATTCCAAATACAATCCTCAACGCTGTACATTTTGCGGCCTTGGTTATAGATTTAGATTCTAAACGGATAAAGCCACGTTGAAGGTGAAATTGATTTTTTTCCTTAAACTATGACCTTTAAACACTTTCGCGTCCTCGGGTAAACAACAAAAATCAGCGTTTGACGAATTGCTAATTCTACTCACCCATATACCGGTCCAAATACCCATACCTATAATACCGGTCCAAGTTCCCACGACGTAGTCTGCGACGCCGAAACAGACGAGTAGAAACCCGACGATAAAATGAACGATGGCAAGAATCCTAGCACTGTTCGTAGCCTTCACTGAATTGTCCGCCATGTTGCTAGTGTTTTCAACAGGAAATACTTTGAAAAATCATTAACAACGTCAGCAACGTAAAATTTGCATAAAACTCTTGTACACTTAGTATGATGAACGGGAGCTATTGACCAGGATTAGTGAAACTGTCTTAGAAAGCTTTTTTGTGAGTTATTTTGACTTATTTTACAAAACTGCCCGAGGTGTCACTCAGATTGTGGTAAATTTGCATTTATTGAATCGACATATGCTGTGATTAACGATCGATTAAACCCGAGGACCACTCAAGCTTGCACGAAGTACAATATGAGATTATTTGTGACCTTTACACCTTTCAATCTAACTAGTTTCTTCATTGCGTCAAACCAAATTTTTATATTCATTCTGCTTGTTTTGCCTTTTTACTTAACGTACAATATTTATAAATATTTTAATGTGAGGCGAGGTGACCTCTAGAAACCATCAAGCTTTTAGTTGAGGCCACCTCGTACGTAACAATACGATAAAAAAAAATAGTGCAATAGTGTGCGGCTTTGCCAGTTCAGTACTAAATTATATCACAAAAAACTCTAGCAGTTTTTTCTTAAAATATTAATACTCGTGCTTGTTTTCTTCTCAGACGGATTGACAATGAACGTATGTTACGCTGCAAAATGTAACAATTTTTGAGGAAAAAACAGTAACATTTATCCGAATAGTAACTACTCTTGATGCAAAATGTAACACTTTCTTTCAAGCGAATTGTAACAACGCAAAATGTTACGGAGTCGCTTGACCGCCAGAAAGACATACTACGAAACTCTTCTACGAACCCAACTTATTTATTTTACAATACGTAATATAATCTTAGCTACAAAGGATCGATTTCTGAACAATACAATCTACTACCAAACTAAGTTAAGCCTACTGCTAAACTTTAGTCACCACTGACACGAACTCAGAACAAATCTCGGTGTCTCCAAAGAAATCTCCTTACGGTTCACTTGACCTTGAACACAGTTCCTCAATAGC